AAGCCGAGAGTTACAGTATGTAAAAAATCAAAATAATAAACCTTTTTTTATGTATCTTATTATTTATATTTAAACTATTCTTATGTACTGAACGCCATGTTTTATTTTCATTAAAAATGAAGTAAATTTAAAATCTTTCAAAAAATTTACAATAATTTTAATTTACCAAATTAATAAATAATTGATAACGTTAATGTTATTATTATACAGCCAGCAAACTGGGCGCCGCATTTGCAATTTCTAATTTTGCAACACTAAATTGCCAAAAAAACTTATTTTAGATAACGATAATACATTAGCTATATAAAGACATTTCGCGAATAGTATAAAATTCTCGCCATATTTCGTTTACAATAAAATACCGCATATTAATTTTCTGCTTATTTAATTTTCAAAAACAACAATTATGTTAATTAATGACAAAAAGCCCGTTCCTCTGCAAAAAGTTGTAGTCAAAGCACAAGGTATAATACTTTTTTATTTACGTATCATCAATTTTTTTTTAAAAAAAGGTTTGACCTATAATTTCTAATACACACACTGATAGTTGTTGATATGATAGCACAAGGTATAAAATTATTCCTTGCAAGTCTTAAATATAATTTCAACTTGGTTCACTCTTTTTGTTATTTTTTCCTCAGTATATATTTTTCAAACATACACAAACATAGAAAAAGATAATATTGATGCCATTTATAAGTTCATAATTCGAAATAATGTGGCAGTTTGCGGTTTTGAAGCTATAATAAATAGCATACTGGTGTTGAACACCAGTAGTGCGATTTAGTGCTACTATATTTTTTTTAGTTTATAAAACAATCTTAATGGTTGAAGGATTTTCTTTATTAAAGTATTTGCAGTTTATATTTACGAAAGAGTTTACAGTAACATATAAATGAAGGTACAATAAACCATATATACAACTTCAGTATTGCCTATTTAAGGTTTCTGCCCATGAGTTCCCACTTATTGCCATACCTGAAACTTAATTGTGGGTCCTCTATTTAAACTCTCTGATTTTCAATATTATTCTGATCACATAAATTTCAATTAAGGTTTGATTCTGACCTTCAGGCTACTTTATCCATGATGTAGATTCAACTAAAATGAAGTTGTTTACCTTATCCAGATTTTTGCACTAGAGGTGATTCCATATTAGGTGAAGCTAATCCTTTTCACAAACATTGACAACATTCTCCATATTTCTCACTATAGTAATGCCCATGCTCTGCCATACCAGTTTTCTTTTAAGAATTTTTTAAACCAAATATGTATTTTCACAGAGTTTTGCATATGAATATAGACTCCTTTTTAAGTTATAAAATGTTTTACCTCCAGTTAGACTCAAACCATCAACCTTGTCTGTGAAGGAACATGAGCTTATTTACTAAGCTATGGAACCTGAACCAAGTGCTACTGTATTTATATTATAATAATTATTACTTGTATTATAAACCTAATTTAGAATAGATCTTCTTTAGTATAGGTGATATAAATTATTACAAGATTATAATATATAAAACCTAACTAATTTGAGCCAATTTATATTCTAACCTTAATTCTAACTCTAATAATTTATAAATTACTTAGATTAGTTCAAAAATAGTTATTATAATTTATAATAATTATATATGCCCACCTATACTAAAAATCAACCCTAAAACTAAAATTTTAGATTATAAAAAATTTTTATAAAATTATAAAAGCAGTTAAAGTTTTCAAATAATAAATATAAAATGCCCAGATTGAAGTATTTAAAATATATATTTAATAAAGTAATTAACTTTTAAAATAAATAGATAATTGGGTTTAAAGGTGTCACTCGGTAGTACAATGTACTACCGGTAGTATGGGTATCTCCGATCCATTAATAAATAAAGGTTTATTTGAATATAGCAGGATAAAGCAGTCTTAGACAAATCGTTCCTAACACCTTTAATCTACAAATCCTGCGTCATATAGTATATTTTAGCATCTAAGTATGTCAGGTTTCAGTAATTTTTATTAACGAGATGTCAAGTTATAAAATAGTACTTTTAAAATATATAAATAAATTATCAGGCACTCATATGATAGTATGGTAATACATATTATAATATTTTATTATCGTTATGGCGATCTATCCATGTTATCTAAAAAGAAAATGTAGAGGATCACGTAGAGGATCATGATTATTGAAGAAAACAGATTGAAATACAAAACAAAAATTTTACATTGAGTTGACAAGAATATAGATTATTGTGTCTTGAATTCATTTAATTACTCGGTCCTATCAGAATTAAGATTTGTGAACGAACACAAAACTCGAATTAAACCATAGGCAACACTCCGTTCCACTACATTCCTGGTTTAAGTTATCCGGGTAATTGATCTGCATCAGCCAATCAAACATCTGCCTGTGTTATGAAAATATTATTCTCCACTTCGTTCCAGACAATTAATCATAAAAACAATTACAGATCTTATCGTGTTTTTTACATTTTTTTATTTTTTATTTTTTTTTGTTTTGCTTTGTTTAATATATAAATATTGGGATTAAATCTAGTATGAGTAATCCATTAATACGTAATATGTAGTTATTGAATGCTAAGCAACAGTAATTCGAATTTTTGATATCCACGATCATAGTAAAGTATTGATAATAAATTGAATCACCTACACTAGACTTAATCAAAATATTGAAATGTTAAATACAGTATAATATATTTATTTTAAATGTTTTTTAAGATATAAATTGTTATATTGTAAACGGTGTTATTTAATTTTCTTTTATAATTAGATCTCTTTAAATGCATATTTTTATTCATTTCCCACAATTTTTAAAATATAATGTTTGCAAATTTATATATGATCTTAAACGTAATATTCACAGACCTATTTGTTTCGACTAAGTTTGATATTTTACAATACTATTTATGTTTGCAATAACAATTTTTTACAAAAGAAAAAATCTCTGTTGCGCTGATCTTTTCAAAAATTTTTACATACCAGGGTCCAATAAACTTAGTCAAAAAATCGGCATAAAATATTCTCTACATAGGATTCACGATTACAATTCAGCTATTTCTTCTAAATACACTTAAAGGAAAAAAGTTAAAGAGATCTAATTATATGGCCTAGGTGCTGAGAAAAGGGACCAATTTAACAACAATAAATGGGAAAAATACCAAAATTTTCATGAAATTTTTTATTAAAAGCAAAAAATGATTTTTAGCAAAAATTTTGAGATAAAATAAAAAATCCTTTATTTTTGTTGCACAAAGCTGATCCACACGTTTTAAGTAATCAAATTTTAATTGGTCGAAATAATATCACTACAAAATAACTCTTATAAAATCTATATTAAATCAAAAGAAAATATAAACTATAAATTGCTATACTGTAAAACTTTACTAATAGAACGGTATTTTTAAAAATATTGTTGATTTGGATCCTTTTTCCAGCACCTAGCCCATATCTTTGAAAATCTATTCTCCACAAGTGATTTTAGTTCTTTAAACTCTTTTTATTATACTCTTCCCAGAATCTTTTTAAATATTCTCTAAACTCATTTGTTCCTATAAGAATACCTTGGTCAAAAATTTTATTATATAATTCACCTAATTCATTAGTCCATTCAACTTTATATGCTGCAATTTTCTCTGCTCTGTTATCAAATAATGATTCGTTTTCATATTGATAAATCTTATTTTTTTCGATTGTATAAGCCGGAGTTTTAGCATTAGCGTCCAAGTTATCGGTAGGCGGCAATGTAAATAAAGTTGGAATATCAAATAAAATTGCTAGATAATATTCAAATAATGTTTTAAGTATATCATCATGTGTCGCTTGATAAATAGTCTTCAGATGTGAAGGTTTAAAAAAATTTCTGGCATTACAATAAACTTTAAAAATTTCACATTCATTTTTAAATTTATCTTTCATTAATCCAGCTTGAGCTTGATTTTGTTTATAATAGTTGTCTATGCTTATTCTGGTTTTAAAGATAACTTCAAAACATCTTTCAGTAATTTTAGCATTTTCACCAAACTTTTTTAAACACCAATTGTAGTACATTGTTGAAGATTCTAATGGATTGAATGGACTGTCATTACTATCCAGAGTTCCACTATTAAGATGATCCATTGCTTTTAAAAATATTTTCTCTTTATCATCGTGAATTTCTCGATGTAAAAATTCAAAAACTTCAGTTCCTTTTAACCTTCTATTGGGTTTTAATGCTTCAATCAAACATTTAAATAAAAGATTTTCTCTTGTATCATTTCTAGCTTCTACAAATGCTTCAATTAATGTAGTTCCAATAGCAGATAATCTTTGCTCAAAAAGTTGCATAATATCTCCGATAATAGTATAACTTAATTCAAATCCTATTTTTATTAAATCTCTAATACGATCAGTGACACATTCAGTAGTTGGATGAGTCCAGTCATCTGGTGGAGTAGGTGGGTACAAGATCAAAACAGCGCCTTGCATCACCAAATCGTTGACATCTTTACAGATTCCATGGTAACCAACTTCTTTCCAATATAAAACAAGATCGTTACAAATTAATATTGCTCTCGCAATAATATTTAGCTGCCTATTGTTTTCAAATCCGTCCTTAGCGGGATATTCTTCTATAGTTGTATTGTTTTGCGCTTGTAGATGTTTCGGTCGAGGTGGAAATGGAATAAACTTTTTTTTCAAGATCAAATCTTTGATTAGATCTTTATTTTTATCTAAGATCGCTCTAGCATCATTAATTACATGTGGCCCTGCGGACAAGAAATGGAACAATTCCATATCATTTCCCTTTTTAGAAAGTTCGATTTGTTCGAATTGTTTATCTGCCTCTTGTAAAAGGTAAATAAAAACTGAAATATCTAAATCACTTGCCCAAGGTATTCTTGAACTTTGTTGTTGAATAATTCGAACATTGGTCATATTTTGATTATTTGCATTATGTTCCATTTTCAATGTTTCAAGTTGTTGATCTAATTTGCCAAAATGCAATAATAGCCTTTGAATAAAATAGCTAGAGATTATTGCCCCATTTGTAACTATTGCTTTAGCAACAGATACATTTATAAAATTTGAGCCCAATCTAATTGCATAAAAGAGCGCGTGAGCGCGACCGTATTGATAAACAATCCATTCAGCTCTCACCATATGATCACTAGAGATATTATACCAACTCTTGCAAGTTAAAATCAGATTTAACGGAAACCTTACAAATTTAAAAATATTTATCAAAATTTCATCTGACAAACCAAGTTGCATAAAATTGTTAACTGGTCTCTCAATATTTCCAGTTTGTCTTTTATATTCACATATTTTTTCTTTTTCTAAACGTGCATCTTCGTTATTTGG